GGGTATTTAAGGAAATAAAAGCCCCAGACTTCTGCAGGCCTCTGTTGTTTGCAGGGGTTTTGTCCAAGCAGCAGGGCTAAAGACAGGGTGGGCTTGGGGATTTGGGCAGTCCCAGCGCAGGAGCACATAGCTGCTGCTGCTCGGCTCTGGGGAAGGATCCATCTCCTGGGTGTGTGATGGCAGAGCTGAGCTGCAGGCAGCAAGAATGGGAAGGGAGGAAGGAAGGGGAAAGAAAAGCAATCTACAGTCATCTTTCTCTTCCCTCTCAGCCTGCAGGGGTAGTGGCCCTGCAGCACCAGCGAGCACAGCCCATGCTGTGGGGTTGCTGACACCAGGACTCCCATCCTCAGATGGGAACAGCCACTGCCCTGCATGGAGCTCCCGGGCACCCCTGAGACCCAGTGACGTGCCCAGGGTGCCCCTGGCCAGTGCCTGCTGCTGGCCCCAGCCCTGCTGACGTGAGGCCGGGCTGACGCTGGGTCTATATCAGTCAGTGACAGGCAGGAAAGGAATGCGTGGAGGGAAGCCAAGTGCAGCTCCTCTCGGAGCTCCCGGCCGCCTCGCCTCGCCTCGCCTCGCCTCTTATGGAGAGGAGCAGGAGGGAAGAGGGACCAGGAGCAGCTCCCGTTATGGAGAAGCCCTGGGGAAGCCCTGGCTCCCACGGGCATGCAGTGGGGCCCTGCTAGGACACGGGGAGGGGAGAACATGCCTGGAACACGCCATGGGGACAGCCCGGAGACAGCTCGGAGCTGCCCTACCATGGTGGGACAGGAGGTTGTGTCCCCACCACGGCTGTCAGGGGAGGTTGGTTTCCCCTGGAGAGGCACTAATTCCCCCCCCCCGGGTTTAGGATCCCTGTGCATGAGCAGACAGACTTGTTGCACTAAAGCACGCAGAGATTTCAAACCAGCAGGAGCACAGGGAGGGCTGGCACCTTCACCTTCCTGCTGGAGAGGAGGAAAAGGAGGAAGAGCTCACAGCGGGTGCTGGTGGCTTGGCTGGGAACAGCCAGGCCATTAATCTGGGGTTTTCCATGCTCCTAATCCCCATTAGCACCGACCCTTGATGCTTGGGGTCAGCTAGCCTCTGCCAAGGCCCTTGTGGGTGCTCCAGGGGGGCCCCGTGCTGCTGGGTGCCCCGGGGGGCTGGGGCCAGTGCTGGTGCTTCAGCCTTTGCCTTTTGTGCGGATTCATTCCCCAATTCCCACGTTGTTTCCAAGACAAACGGAGTGGGTGGGAAATGGCTGTGGGGAGGGAGCAGCATTGGGCCAATGGCACTGCACTGGCAGTGAGGGGCAGGAGGGGTTTTTGGGCCTCAGCTGCAGGACAGTCTTGCCTCATAAGCAATAGAAAATGATGCTTTCAAGTACCATTCCCCATTATCCCTGTGCAGCCACAGGGAAAAGCCTAAAAATGTGAACCCTGGAGAGCCTAAAGAGTGAGTGGGAACCCCCAGGCACAGGGGTGAGGGCCTGGGGGCACCAGCAAGGATGAGCATCCAGCATCCAGTGTGCAAAGGCCCATCTCAACAGCTTGATGCTGCCACCACCAAATAGTGCTCAATTTCAGGAAGGATTTTGGGTCCTTGGAGACTTCGTGTGTCTTTGGCACAGGAGCAGGGTCCTGGTGCAGCGCAGGTCCACCTTGAACACCAAGTGAGGTTTCCCAGGGCCAGCTGGGCGCGATGCCCCTTTGCTGTAGTACGTGGTAAAAGCCTCTTTGTGCAAAGCTGCAGAGCATGAAGAGGTTCAGGACCTGAGCAGCTCAGCACAGTGACAGGTCAAGGCACGGCTGAACCCCCCCCAGATCAAGTGCAGGTCCCTGGGAACCTCCCCCTGGTGCCAGGGAAACAAGTGCTCCTCTTTCCCATCTGGTACTGCACTGGGCAAATATTTGCTTTGGGAAGTGCTGCCTTGCCCCGAGCCCTGCAGCCAAGGCCAGCGCTGGCAGGAGAGCTGCTCACACCAGGCAGCAAGGCGGAATCCTGCTCACATACAAACCACGCTCCTTATCGAAGGGAAGCAGTCAGCCTGGAGCTGGCCTTGAGCTCCAGGGATGCTCTGCAGGAACGTGGGAGCCTCCTCAGCGTGGGATGGGGAGGTGCTGCCACAGCCCATGGAGCTTGTGAGCTCTGGGGAGGGGACACTCTTCCTCCTTCATCCCCTCCTTGGCCACCTCCATGGCCAGGAAATCATCCAGGGAAGGCAGACATGAGGTCAGCAGCACCCTGGGGTGCTAGGAGCACAGGAGAGGCATGCAGGGTGCTCACGGGTACTGGGCGTCCATGCTGGGTTTGGACCTCCCAGAAACCCTAGGGGAAGGGCTGGAGACAGACCTGCAGAAGGAAGAGCACTGGGAAGCTGCCTGGAGACCAATCCCAGCCATTGCTGGTTTTCAACCCCTAGAAATTCACTTTTGGCTGGCAGAGGGCAGGTGGTGGGAACTGGGCATGGCTGGGCAGGAGCTCAGGGCAGGAGCCCCTGCAGCAGTGGTGGTTCTCGCTCTGCCCATGCTCCCCGGCCCTGGCCTCCGCAGTGCTGGGAGCTGGAGCAGCCCTGGGCGCCTGGGACACTGCCCTTTGTTTCAGAGAATAAAGTTAGTGCTGTTACTCAGCCCGTCGCTATTCCAGCAATTCCTGCCTCCACTCGCTCGGCAGCGGGAAACGTTCCTGCCTGGGGGCTGCCAAGCAAAACATGCACCAGAGGGATGCGAAGGGACGGGGGCTGGCAGCACCACGGTGCCTTCCCTGGGATGGGCATCTCCCCCTGCCTCTGAGGTGGTGCCTCTTTCGCATCCCGTAAGATCCTGCTCCCAGTGCGGGTCACTGAGTAACCCATCCTGGGATAGCAATAATCCATCCCTTCAGCATGATGGGTAACCTGTGGCTCCTCGGGTGACCAAACAGCAAGTGGTGGACATGGGGACAAGGTACGTCACCTCCAGCGTGTCCCAGCCAGAAAGCATTATCACTTATGGTGATGCCAGTGGGATTCCACGGCCCTGCCCTGTGGACAGGTTTGGTTTGGCAGCCTGGTTTTGCTGGGAAAGGATGAGGGAGCTGCCAGACTGGGGGGCTCCTGTGGCTCAGCACCTCCAGCCTGGTGGTGGCCATTCCTCTTTCATTTCTTGCTGCTGCCAGTGGAAAACTTGAAACTGAAACCCACCAGTGGGGGGAGGCACCAGCACCCTCCTCCTGCACCCATGTACAGGGGAGGCCCTGATGGAGGAATTTAGGTTCTACCAACCCCTGGCCTAGCCACCACCTCCTGCCCGTGCTGGACTGGGGCTCTATGACACATGGAGCAAATCCTGCTCCATCCTTCCTTTGGCACAGTGCTCTCCACTCCCACCTCAGAGCACAGCATCCTCCTGCCCCTTCTCTGTAGAACGCCCAAGAGCAGACCGTTGCCATGTTGCATAGCCCTAAACCCCACTGCAAAGCCTTGTGAGCACCAAACCAGCTTTAATCCAGCTGAGCAGAGCCCAAGCAGAAAGCCTGGGGCAGTGCACCCGCAGCTGGGGCTCCGTGCCACTATGCCTAACCCAGGAACAAAGGGAGGAATGTCCCTTCCCAGCTCTGGGGACATTAAACAAACCCCAAGAGCCCATTCTCTCTCTGTCAGCCCTGCAGCTCACCCGAGCTTTGATCTACAGCCCAGCACAGCAGATGGAATAACTCCCAGCGAGGGTTTTGAATCTGGTTCCTGCTGTTTGCTTCTGGCAAAGCTGCTGTGAGAACCCCAAAACACTCTGTCCATCCTTTTGAAGCCCTTCTGAAATGCATCATGGAGTTGTGCTTTCCCCTCCTCCCTTCCTTCTGAAAGCTCTTCAGTCCTTCCTACTTCTGGAAATGAACATTTGAGGTATGGCTGCTGAAGCACAGACCAGCCCAAAGCCTGGAAACAGCTTCAAGGTAAGCTCCAGGGCCACAACCCTTTGAGCTCCCATCACCTGCTGTGCTTCCAGCCAAGGATTCTAACACAAATTCCTACCTGCTGCCAACAGTTCCACCAGCGTGAAGCTGTATTCCCACTGAGGAAGAGCTGCCGAGGGCTCTGGGGAGAAAACCTCCTGTCTGCGGTGTCCATGGATCCTGCGATGCACAGGGAAACAGCCACGTTGTTTTCCTCCTGGCTTGTCAAAGCAGGATGAAACAAGTAAAAAGGTAACAGCCTCACTTAGCTTTGCCTGACACAAGGTTGGATGATCCTGGGCGAAGCACGGTATTCACACTCGCTGCAGCTGATGCTCTTTAGGAACCCAATTTAGCCTTGTAATTGCGTTATAACCCAAAGTTATTTTAACATTGCTCTCTCTCTCCGAGAGATAACCCCAAAGTTATATATATATATATATGTATGTATGTGTGTACATATATATGTATATACACACACACACATTTAACACTAAACAGCTGTGATATCCCAGACTGCACACAAAAGCCCACACTGCGAGAAAGCATCAGGACACAAAGGGGGCTGTGATCTTGAAAGACCTGAACAGCAGGGCATCATGAGGGGAATTTCTTACCTGCTGCCTTGCTGTGCTCCAGTCAGGCCTGCCCAAGCCACGGGGTCATTGGAATGAATACAAACAGCACCTCTGATAGCAAATAACCCATCCCTGCTGTGGCTTCAGTGCTGTGGTGGTGGTGCAGATGATGCTGCATTGCTGGGCTTGACCTCAGAGAGATAAGAAGGGGATTTTCTAGGCTCACCTCATCTTACCGTGCTTCGTGGGATGGAGCTGATGCTGGTGGCAGGGTCACCAGCACTGGGGACAGCAGGACCCACCCTCTCCAGCATGCACATGTACACGCCAGACAGACAAGTGGGGTGATGCTGGGGACCCACATCTCTCCTTGGGTGGGCTCGTTTGCTCCTGGGGTAGGACACAACTCACACGCGTGTGCAGCTGGAACGCTCCTCCCCTCTCCCAGGAAGGGAAAGGCTGGATTACCCCCCCCAGCCTGCATTCAGCATGCGGACACCCAGTCCTTACCCTGGCTGGGTACGGGTGCCAACCACCACGTGGGGGACAGGCACACGCTGCCTGCGCACAGCTCCAGCCCCTGCGGCACTGCCTGCGGAGGAGCCAGGCAGACGGGTGTCACAAAGCACCTCATCACCACCTCTTTCCAGCCCATGTCCTACGAGGGCACAACTGAAAGGTCTTCCCTTGATGTGACACACGGCGTGGGGACTCCCAGAACTGCTCGGTCCGGTTCAGGAGCGTGATGCTCCCCTGACACCCCCACCCTGCCAGCAGCACCCCACTGTGGGGCCCTCATCCTGCCCTGGCTGTGGCAGCAGGAGGGTCCCTGGGCCACTCCAGCCCTTCCCAACACCCATAACCTCATGCTGGCACTTCAGCTCTGCCTATGGCAACTTCTGCACCCCTTTATGACATGAACAACCAGCCCCAATGCTTCAAACACCTGAGCTCCCGTGTGACCTGAAGTCAGCCTCAGGGCAGCTCTGGGTGCCCAATGCCCTCTCCATCAATAGTGCAGCTTGAAATCATTCTCCAGTTCTCACACAGGTGCTCCTGCCTGAACTCACCTCTCCATCCTTCCTGATGGGTCTGCCCAGTGCATTCACATGCCTGTGCTGGGAAGCCCAGCTGCGGGCTCAGATCACTGGGGAGACCCTGGGGAGTGTCCAGCCATGCTGGCTGGAACCAGCACATCCGTCTCTCCTGCTGCCTCATCCCACAGCCAAGTCCTCCCTGGGAATGGCCCTGGGAGCACTGGCCCAGCCCAGCCGTGCATGGGTGATGGAGCTTGACCAGCTCCCAGCCGCTTGGCTGAGATCAGGCAGGATTCCATTTCCCTTGCCATAAGGCAGGAGGATCGAGGTTCCCAGGAGACCTCAGCGCTGTTTTCCTCATAGGCAGCTGTGCCACACCTGGACCACGCTGGTGAAGGTGGATTCAGACCCAAGTCCCGTTACAGGCATGCCCACAGCCTGGGACAGCCAATGCTCATTGCTCACCAAGGGATGTCCCAGGCTGGAATGCAGGAGCTCATCAGTGTCCACGCTCCCTTTGGAAGGCTGCAGGGAGGAGCTGGCAGCTCCCGAGGAGAAGGCTTTGTGCAAACAATTGATCTTTACCCCAAAGGCAAAGGCAGGCAGCTGCAGTGAGAGCAGAGAGAACCAAACCAAACCAAACCCAGCCCAGCCCCGGGGATGCCGCAGCCTCAGTGCAGCGCCTGCGGCCACAGAGCAGCCTGCCAGGCTCCCCGGTCCTGTGCAGGGGCTGAGGGAGCAGGGGGCACCCGCTCTAGAAGCAAGGAGGAAAGGGAATGATGCAGCAGGCAGCCACGGGGCTCATGCGAGCCTGAATTCCTCGGTGATGGGATAACGCCAGCGATCCTGGCTTTCCAAGGCTCAGGCAAGTGACAGCTCCAGTGGGACGAGCCTGGCTCCCTCCCACCCACAGGATGGCCAAGGAGCCTGGATCCTTTGCAGTGCCAGGGAGCAGAGCAGCTCCTTGCCTGCCCACAAACACCAGCACCCTTGCTATCAGCTATGAAGCATCAACTGCCCAGGGCAGAGGGACCCTCCAGCCCATCCTGGCAGCTCCTGGCCACCAGCTTTTGCACTTACCTTGTGCTGCATGGAGCTGCTGAGGCTGTTGCATGGGGAAGAGCAGTATGCCCTAGGAGGTGGATGCATTCCCTTTAGTCCAGTCAAGAATACACCATCCCTATTGCTGGGGCAGGATAGTGGGACAGAGCTCGAGGAGCACTTGTGGAGCCAGGTTTGAAGCTGTTTTCCCCCACTGCAGCCCCCTGATCTCCCACAAAAGCCCCGGCTATCTCTTTTATTCTTCCCAGCCCTAGCAGCAAAGAAAGAGGTGCTTGGTGATAAGAAGTTGCGTGGATGGCTCAGAGATGAGGCTTGGTTTTGGCACTGGATAAATCATGTTCATCCAGCTGGGAGCTACTGGGAAAAGAGAGATTAATCATAGAATCACCGACTCGTTTGGGTTGGAAAGGATCTTAAACCTCATCCGGCTCCAGCCCCTGCCACGGGCAGGGACCCCTTCCACTGGAGCAGCTTGCTCCAAGCCCCTGTGTCCAACCTGGCCTTGAGCACTGCCAGGGATGGGGCAGCCACAGCTTCTCTGGGCACCCTGTGCCAGCGCCTCAGCACCCTCACAGGGAAGAGCTTCTGCCTAAGAGCTCAGCTCAGTCTCCCCTCGGGCAGGTTCAAGCCATTCCCCTTGGCCTGTCCCTACAGGCCCTTGTCCAGCTTCCTTGTTGGCCTCTTGTGCTGCTGCCCCAGAGCTGGATCAGGGCTGCAGGAGGGCTCTCTCCAGAGCACAGCAGAGGGGCAGGATCCCCTCCCTGAGCTCCTGCTCACACTGTGGGGGTGCAGCCCAGGACATGGTGGGGGGGAGGAATCTGGGCCCAAGCACACAGTCATGGGCCATGGGGAGCTCCATCCTATGCTTGTGCTGGTCCCTGCACTCTCCTCACTCCCCTGCACAGCCCGGGATGGCCTTGGGCAGATGGGTTGAGGTTGGGCGTCAAGCAACCCGCCTGGATCAAACAAATCATCAACTAAATAACCACCAGGCAATTACTGCCATTAGCAATGCTGACCACCTTCAATTCCCTGGGCATTAATGAGAGGTGGAGGGCACCCGGCCCCTCCCAGGGTTAGGTCACCCATGACGTGGGATGGGGGCAGGGATGCTCTTACTCAGGTCTCCCTGCGCTCTCCATCACGGGCACCTACCGAGCATGAGCTGGAAGAGCAGCATCCAGCCCCAGATGGGTTCAAAGGCTCCTGCCTTTGGGAGGGCGCGTTTCAACACTCCTGAACTGCTTGTGGTAGGAGCAACCTCGATGCTGCAGAGGACGTTGGTGCTCCACATCCCTCGCAGGTGGGTGTCACCATAGGGAAGGGCTGCATCCCCTCCTGCCTTCGCACCAGGCACCATTAGAGTTGGGTCTTAGCCTTCCAAGGATGGCAGCGCTGCTCATCTCACCCAGGCAGATGATCACCGTTTCAGAGACTGATTCCTCTTGAGCTCCATTGTGGTTAAGCAAACCCTTCTGTGAAGGGGGGATTCCTCCCTCACTGCTCCACCAGAGCATGCAGGGAATGTGTAGGGCTGCAGGGAAGGAGGAGGAGCAGGAGCAGAAACTGGCTGAACTCGTTACACTGGTGATGTTTGGAAAGGGTGGTAAGTGCTATGTTAACATTATGTCCAGTCTTTAAGGAATGCATCCAGGATTCACCAGGCAGCAGTAGTTAGGTGAGTCAGGCTGCGGACATGCGGATTTAACCAGGATTTCAAGCCCAAGCGACCTCTAATTGCATAGTAGTAGAGGAATGCTTAAAGTAATCAGCTGTTCCAGCCGTGCCAGCCCCATGGCTATGGGGGGGAAGGGAGGAGGGCTGGAGGGGTGTCCTGCATCCAGCCCCTCCTTGGATTACAAGGCAAAAATATAGGGCATGCAAACACCCCAGGGAATGCGATGCTTAGTGGCTTTCCCTTTGAAGGGAGGGTGACACTGCTCCTGCTGACACTGGGAGCCGATAGCAGCGTGATAAGCAGGGTGAATATGCTGTGGTGGCAGGAGAGGGCAATGATCAACCACTGCAGTGCTGCCAGCTGAGAGCTGCCCCATCTCCATCCATCACCAAAGCTTCTGGCTGGGAAGGAGAGGTGGGAACGGCTCTGAAGGAATGCTGCGAGCTGTTAGGATGGAGAATGCGTGTTCTTGCTTGTACACCGAGAGAGATAACACATTCCACATCACCTGCACCTCCCCTGGCGCTGCTCCAGCCTAACGCCTGTCTCCAAACTATGGTCCCACCTACAAGAGGCGTTCTTTCCTGGAAATGCCCTTGGCATCACCAAAGGAACGCGCAGTGGGTCAGGGGAGGGGGTGCAGGAACACCTCATCCTTGACTGATCTCACGGCTCAGATGCGCCGACTGACTTGTTTCCCTCCTTCCCTAAGAAGGCATCCCTCTGCTCCAGTGGTCAGTCATCCCCAGTAATACCTTGGGATGCCAGAGATGATTTCCATCACATTTGTCAGAGCCACCAAGTCTCTACAAGCTAAAATGGGCGGCCAAGCACCGGGATGCACCCAGGGGAGGTAGCAGGAGCTGGATGCTGGGCGTGCAGCCGTTACCACCAGTGCTGCATCGAGCTCCTCAGAGCCGGAGCTCCAGAAGAGGAGGAGCAGGGAGGAGCAGGGAGCTGGTGTTGGCTTCTGCAGAAGCACACGGGAGTTCTGGGGGGAGCTGCGCTGCTGCCCTGGGCACAAGCCTCTGGTGGTGGCTCAGGAGGGAAAGGAACACCTGAGCTTCCAGTGTGAGCCTGGATGCACAAGGTCACAGATGGGAGAAGGCGGCTGATGAAGGGGGCTCATGGAGCTTCCCCCTGTGCCTCCTTGCCACCAGCCAACAGGTCTGCAGCAAACAGCCTTTGGAGCTGAACACTGCCAATGCCCCGTGCACGGAGTGGGGAAAAAAAGCCTTTTAAACCCTCTTCCTCCTTCTCCAACATGAGCTGAAAGCCTGTTTGTAATACAAGAGCCTGAACCAGAACCTTCAGCAGACAGCGGCCAGGAGAGCTCAATGAGAGAGCAAGCTGCAGGGCTCTTCCCATCAACCTTCACCTCCCCAGGGCTGAGGACTACAGCAAAAGGGACCAAGTTGGTGCCATCCTCCAGCAGCCCAGCTCTGCCACAGCCCTCCTGGTATGTCCATATCAATGAAGCATTTGTCTCATGCTTGGCACCAGGCACCCGAGCACAAGGGTCCGTGTGCTGGATCGGCCAACACAGCTATAAATGGAAAGAGAAGCTGCAGACAGACTGTTCTCTCACCCTGCATCATCTCAAATAGCAGAGCGAGCACCTGCACTACCCCTGCAGCTCCTGGGGAGGAGGAGAAAAAGCAGGTGGACTCCAACAGAGAGGCTAAATACACACACTGAGACACAACGTGGACACCAAGGCTGGGTCTAGCACCGTGCCTGCATAGAGATGGTGCCACCCTTTGAGCAGATTGAGGGAGGTTGGAGCAAGATGCTCCTTGAGTTCCACAGATCCAAGACAAACTACTCCTGTTTCAGTGATCCTGCAGCATGGCTCAGTGTCCTTCCAGGAGGAAAGCAACCATGGGCAGGGCCGCAGCTGTAAAATCTGCACTGCAAACCCTGGAAATGATCCTGCTGATCCAACACCAAATGGTTTTGGCTGCATTTCAAGGCATCACCCCAGCAGCCCTTTGCAGGGGTGCTGCAAGGAACATGCTGTGCTCACACACAGGCTACACTATGGGCTTGTTATCCAAGCTGGACACTGCCAATGTAACAGACCATACTCCTACAGGCACAACACCATGGTCTATCCCAACACATGCCTTTCCTCAGAGCAAAGCTCCAGATCCAAGGCTGAGAGCAGCACACACCAACACACCCAGCACTGGAGCCCAGATCTCCTCCACCAGATACTCAGGCACATCCCAACTTGTCCATCAGCCTCTGTTCAAAGAGAAAACAACAGTGACAGGCTACAGGCGGTGAGGAGAGAGATGTTGGCTTGGTTTGGGTTTGTTTTTAATTGGCAATTAACAAAAGAGGGATCCAACTCCCCGTTGTAAACATTGACACCTCCTTTCTGATCACTACTAGTACTTTCCACCAGTGTCCTTTTGTAGCGCCTGATCCACTCCAACAATGAGAAGCCGACTCTGTCAGGGCTTTTGCTGCTCTGCTCAGGGTCACAAATCCAGAGGCAGTTTATGAGCATCAGCAGCACCGACCATTGGCACTGAGAAGACAACTGAAAGACTTAAGCTGATGCTTTAGAGCCAAGCTCAGGGAAGGCAGCAGCTTCGTGCTGTGTTGTAAGAATCCCCTCTCACTGCGAGCAGGTTGAGAGAGGAATCAGCTTGTCCAAAGCAGAGTGCTACTCAAGCAGGCAACAGAGACACGGTCTTACGTGGTGTCAGCCCCAGCAGAACGACCCAGACCTGTCATCAGAGCCAAGCTCAGCCCTCAACAGTAACCATCGGGAGATGCAGAGCCAGCAAGTTTGTTCCAGAGAAGGACTGGCACATCAGCAGTGATTGCTGCAGTGGAACCAGAACTGCCTGTAGCTTGACAAGGGGAAGTGAAACTTCATCTGAGGCTGGAGGGCAGCCAGAGCTGGAAGAGCTTGCACCCAGCTACAGGCTGGCAGCTTCCAGCCATCACACAAGACACTGGCCTGACCATCAGCAGATCCAAACTCCTGTGGGAGACAAACCTTTGAAAGCCTCCCCTTTCCAAGAGGAACCACCTTGCAGGTGGGTCAGGTGCACAGGAATAAGCAACTCTCAATCACTCAAGCCACGTGCTTGAGAACAAAACCATAGGAAACACAAGTCTCCCAGTACCATCCCCAGCAGCAGGGCCCACAGGTCACCACCAGCACCAAGCAGGCTCCATGTCAGACTCCCTCCCCCAGCAGCAACTTGAGGAGCTTCCAGGAAAAGGGAAGATGCAGAACACTAAAGAACACCCTTATAAATAGAAACCTTCCTCACCATGGCAGTGACCTGCCAACAGCGACACACTTCCCAGGCTCCGGTTCCTTCACTTGGAGGGACTAAGCAACCCCAACCACTTGGACAGGGCCAGAACCAGGCTTGCTCCTCTTGAGGCAACCAGTTGGTTCTCGGTGGGAGGAGGGTCAGCATCTCACACCACACTGCCCCCATGGACAAGCAAATAAAAACCCAACAGGTTTGAATACACTGTATTTATTTGCAACAGATTCTAAAGAATCTAGTGAGTTTATGTCAAGCCCATTGCAGGACAAGTGATACAGGTGTAGGGGAAAAGACATTTAAAACAAAACCCAAGCGCCATTCAAGCTACTGGAATCTTCCACTTGCTCCCTCGCAGGAGGCAGCTCAGGATCACTGCAAGGTCTAGAAACACTCGGGTTCAACCCACTCACAAGAGTCCCACCACACACACGCTGTAAATCAAAAGTGCAATCTCAACATAAGTTGTCCTTTAGGGAATCTTTCTGACATCTTCAAGGGAAGGAGGGAATCTGTTCAGTGTGCCCATGTGCCTGCAGGTAAAGCAGCCTGTAAAAAATAAGCATGCTACAAGCTCAACTGAGATTTCAAATGAAAGCAAAAGCTATCTCCCCTTGCAGCTGTGAAGGCTGCATCCTTTGGATCTCAAAAGCAGCCCTTAAACCAATTTTACCTCACACTGGACAAACCTCAAGCTCTCACCACAGGGACCAGGCTCTGGGCACTGGGAAGTTCCTAGGCTGTGGCAGAGCCCACACACCAGCCTGGCCCATGAAGGCAAAGCTGTTCCACAGGAAGGCAGTTAAACATGTAATAACAACATTGTTAGCGACACTTCTTCAGCTCTAACTGGATTGGAAGCAAAGCTGGACCAATTCCAAACACATTAGCTCATGGTAAGTGCAAGAGCCCCCAGATCGCTCCCCCCAACCCCTTATGCCCAATCCCCAAAGAAGGTAGCAATCTGGCTATAGACATTCCAAGGATCTAGTCTTTATTAGAGCATTCAATCTGCCCAGCTAGTACAGTCGTGTCACAACAAAACAAACCCCAAGATAAAGATACTCAAGCACCTCGGAGGAAGCACCATGGAGTCACGGTGTTCCCAGAGCAGCATCTCTAGGAAGCACCTGCTTTGCTGGCCCACCTCTCCCTCCATGCATAGTTAAAGCTGAGATGATGATTCCAAAGAATGGGCATGGCAATGCAGGCACTGCAGTGAAAGACTGTTTGATGCTCCAGACACCTGACTACTTCAAAGCCACGTTTGGCTGAGAGAGCCAAACCCTGAACACACAAGAGGGTTTGTTAAGACATACTTTTTCCCCTAAGGCCAACTGACCTTCGCATGCTCACCCACCCCCCCAAGCTCCATTTCTAGCTAGGGAATGAATTTCAAATGCTATCAGTAGCTCACATGTGGAATCACATCGCTGGAAATAGGCTGCTTCTGGAGATAGGCCCTGCTAGAGGGAAGATCCCCACCACAGGAGGCTGGAAGAGGTCTCCCTATCTCCTAGAACACCACAGGCTTCAGCCCCCATCACAGCAACAGCTGGAGATACCTGACGAGTGAACGAGCTGGTTTGTGCTTCAAAGGACAAGCCTCATCTCCCCAGATAACCCAGCTGGTCTCTGGCTTTGTGCATGAACACCACACTGCACACCAAAAACCAAGACAAATCAGCAGCATTTCAAATTCCCCTACAAAACACAGATTAGGTAGAGGAGCCCGGGGCAGGCTCCTGGACAGATCTGCCTCATCGTTCCTGTACATGATTACACTTTGGCACTGCAGACTTGAAGTCAATTCCTATGTATCTCCCTGCTGCCTCCTCTCCAGACAGCTCTGCACAGCATTGGCCACCAGGCACTCCCCCTACCCCACTTCTATTTTGGCATTTACATGGAATCCAAGCCCACCCCTGTTAAAACAACTCCACTTGGAGAGCTCTTTGCTCCAGCTGGCCCTTTACAGGCAGAAGCCATGCCAGAAAACCTCAGCAACACGTAACCTGCAGCCCCAGTCATGCTTCAGCAAGGTTACTAGAAATGATCTTATGACCCCCCTCCCTCCCCAGCAGAAACATTTGCCTCTTCAGACACCCCCACTCGAGCTCCTGGGATGTCAGCCCCTGCAGAGGTTTACAGTACAGTTGTGTTTGTATGGTTACAGGCACTTAAACAGGATTCTTTGGTCCTTCAAAGGAATTCGCCACTCTGGCTCCTACCTTCAGAAGCCACAAGTCTGCACACCCCTAATGCCTCCCACACTAAAAACCAGCCCCATTCAGAGCCATTCCAGGGCAGTGCAGCTCTACCTTAGTGTAATTCCACAATCTCCCCTCACACACCCCCACCCACCCCCATGACCTCCACAATTCAATAAGCAATTGAGTCTTCCTGTAAACGTCCAGGTCATCTGGTTTCCATAGCACTGCACTTCCCATCACAGTGTACAGCAGCGGACAGGCCTCATTCCAACAAACCCAGGAACGAGGCACTCGAGTCCAGGAAGCTTCTTTTCATTGCAGTTCTAGGAAGGTTGGTTGCTTTGTCTCTTTTTCTTGCCCCCACCCTCCCCATTCCCCCCAAGGCACAAAGTTACCTTGGAGGAAAGCCCCTGAAGTCTGTCCTGGCTCAGTTACAGGGAAGCCACCTTGGGTAAGACTGATTGCAAGGCAGGAAGGGCTGCACATGGGTGACGTAGTAGTTGAAGTTTATTTCACTGACATAAGGAGCTGGCTGGTAGTAGCAGGTAACATTCGTGACCGTGGGGATGATGTTCTGCTCAGCCAGGACTCTCACAGCCAGCATGGCAATGAGGTTCAGGGTCTGCCTCCTTTCGTGTCCCATAAGACAGACTGTGCTTTCATTGACCACCCTGTGGAGGGTCATCAAATAGTCATATCGTTTGCTCTCCATCCCCACAAAGTGGCTCTGAAGGTAGCACTCCAGCTTCCTCTGCTGCTCACTGATGTCAGAGAAGTCTATGAAAAACCTGGAGCACATGTATCTCTGTAGCGCCTTCATATCCACTTCCGATTTGGGCTTAAATCCCCTCACCAAGAGGTTGCAGTATTTCAGAAGCCCCCCGCCTCTGATCTCCTCTGGGTTCCTCGTGGCGATGACCCTGTTCCGGAGATGGTCCATTGCCTCCTCAAAGTCCCCATACATGCTCTCCCCGGTGACCGTTGGGTGGAAGTTCTCGGCCATGGGGTTCTCCGAGCACTCTCCAAAGAGCAGAAGGGAATCCAGGATGATCTGGAAGGAATCCACGCTGAACTCGAACTGCCGCCTCAGGGAGTCCACGAACTTAAGCTCCACGTTCTTGCCGCTGTTGTTGGAGAGGGATATGAGGCTCCAGCGGTCCGTCTCATTGCACACCTTCACCAGCTTCTGCACGTACGCCTCCTTCAGCGTCATGGGGGTGATCTTGTCTTTGTTGACACCTTCGGGGAGGAAGTCAAGCAGGCAGTCCATGACCACATCTTTAACAAGCTGGAAGACATCCTCGGTCTTCAGATCCACGCCAAAGATGAGATCCAGGTCTTTGTACCCCAAGCCACTGTCTTGATGTAGAACGTGACTAGCTGCTGAACCATTCAACCTGACATTATGGACTGCAATTCCTTTCTTCTCCAGGCGACTACGGACAACCTGAGATATGGAGAGAGTCAGTGAGAAGCAAGGAAACATTCCTGGAGCAGCCTGGTTACAGCAGCAGGATTCACTCCCAGCACTTATATGGGTCACTCCAGTGCAAGACAGTGAAATAAAGAGCTAATCCATCAGAAATAGGTCACTTTGGAAAGCATCCAGAGTTTTGCCAGCAGCCAGGGGTGGCTCTCCTTTACTTTTTCCCTTGCAGTAGAGGTCTCCTACTGCACAAGTGGCTCTTTGCTCTTCCCCTCCTTCCCCCACCAAAGCTGGGTTACCTGCACTCATCTTTGGGGTGGTCTCTGCTCCCTTCATCCCCCCCTCCCCAGGTTGCAGCCTTTCCAAGCATCAAGCCAAGAGCAGACATGCCAACAAGGATTCCAACCAGAAGGCAGCAGCAAAGTCTGCAGCTGCCCCTGGTGATTTAATGAGGGTGGCTCACCCCTTTCAGCCATCCCCTCTGCCTGTCAAGATTCATTAAAGGCAAATCAAGCTTCCAGAACTGCTCCAAAGCCCCAGCCAGGCATATGCAAGTTCATGTCCTAACTAGTAAGTGTATCCTAACAATTTCCAGTGTGTCAGAGCTTCGTCCTGTACTTGGCATGCTATCAAGCACAAGAGGCAGCTTTCATCTTACGGGTGTTACTCCGGTGATTTTAATGCTGCCTGCTCAGTCCTGGCACACCCACCAGTACCTCCAAAGCTTTGTTCCTTCGGAGCAAAGCTGAATCACTTGCCCGATTACTTAACACACAAGAGGCTGAAATAACCCCAAGACCATAAAATAAACTATCTAGACACCAGCTTATAATTTGAGTTTAACTAAGCTCAAAGATCCCAAGAAGATTAAGTTCACCTCTTCCCATCTCTCATCCTTTCATGTTCCTCTCCAACAATTACCCACTGCCCTGGGAGCCCCAGCGAGCCAGCTGGCTCCCCCAGTGCCCAAAGCAAGGCTGGAGCTTGAAAGAGCCAAGCTTGGGATACAGATGGACAAATGATATCACTGGGAGCCAGTGTGACCAGGCGAGCTCTGCCAGGCTGTCCTACTTTGAGAGGCCCCACTGAGAATCAAAGCTGGGAACCTGCTTGGTGGACACAGCCCTGAGCAGACAGTCTGGGGGTCATCAAAGGGTTACAGCTCCATGGGTCTCAGCAGGTATCAAACTGCCCCTCAACAAACAGCAGACCTCTTGGTACAAACTGCGGAATGGTTTTCAACAGGGACTTGGTTAAATCTCATGATGCAGCTTCTCCACTGGTGTTTCCCCATTGCTCCCTGTCATGAGCCACTGCTGCTCAGTCCAGAAGTGCACCCAGGCTCTTTGCCAGCCCAATGGTGACAGCCACATGCCAGGCAACAGTTAACCAGCAAGCTCCCAAGTCCCCATCAGCACATCCAATCCAGCCATAAAAAGGGCTGTTTTTAAAGGCAGAGAATCTGGAAACTGAATTTACCCCTAGAAGAGACACAGGGTTATTCCCCCCTATAGAACAAACATCACACAGGCCACTGAGGCAGCTCCTGGTGCGTGTCTGGTGCCAAGTGATCAGCCGCTGGAGCTGCTCACGCAAGGCACAGCTCCAGCACTACTTGTGGAGTTGAGTGTTGTGCTATTAGGCTTAGAGAGAGAAGACAGAAGTCACAAAAGTGCCTGCTGCAGAACTAGGGCCCGTGCTTTGAGGGGATCTCAACCCACATTAACTTCCTAGAGCCAAAGACCATCTGCTCAAGCCCTTTCTGGGCACAGCTCAGGACCAACAGCACCACAGACCCATAAGCTTCAGACTCATAGCACACCTATGAGAGATGTACTCAGAAAAGGGGGAACCCCCCCATCTGCTCAAACTTGCTTTGTCCCAAATCACCCCAAGGCAGCTCCAGCCTGCAGCCTCACCACTGCCCCCAGCTCTCCAGCCGGAGCACATCTCCCTGGCTGCAGGCAGTGGGCTCAGGTATGTGCCTTCCCCAGAGGGCTGGATATTTAGAGGGTTAGGCAGCTGCTGACCTGCTTCCCAAAACAGCACCTCACGTTGTGTGTGGTTCACATAATTGACTCTGACAGGCAGGCAGGAGCAAAGCCCGCCTGCATCCTGACCGGCCGCTTCCCACCTCCCACAACAACAACAGCGCGCAATAAAGAACTGCCTTTTAGGTTACTCGTTTCACATTAGTCAGCCCTAAATACAGGGTCTGCCGGTGTGGCAGGTCCCAATGACAGCCCTCAGTTATGTGGTGCCCGAAGTTGCCAGTAGCAACATCCTTTTCAGCAGCTCTGACAGCAGATGCCTTTAGTTTGGTGGAATTAAGCAGTAAGACATTGTGGAACATCTGATGCTGCACCACGCCAGGCTTCGCTGGCCTTGCACAACCTGCGGGCAATGTCCTGACAGGAGCTCTCACACTCACTTTAAAGCGTCAGCAGCCAAGATTTAGCACTTCTGCCCCCACCAGATGCAGCAGGAACTGAAGGCATTGGGATCACAGGGCAGTGTTTCAAATGTCACCTTCCCATTTTCCACACTCCAGCAGGAATATTTCTCAAGGCTTCAGAATCCCAGCAATGGGTTTCTTGTGAAAGCCAGGCTGGGCCGAGCTTTGTGAAAAGCCCTTTTAATTAGAAACCAACATGCCCGATTTTACATTTGATGAGTCATTACTGAGGCATGAAGTTGCCTCCCAAATATGAATATGCATCAGCTCATTTGAACTACATCGTTAGTTCAACATTAAACACAGTTATTACCTTATGGTTAAACTAACAGGAACTCTTTAGCAAGACAGAGTCTTGGGCAGGCCCTGGAGGATGTAGATGACAACCGAAAGGCCACTGACACTCGATCTAACATGGCAAGCAGTAACTGCTCCAAGACACCAGCCCAACATGCCTACCAGCATGAAGCAATCCTATGGGAGCAGCTCTGGAGAACCCACTCTGCCTCAGCCACCAGCACTGCCCTGCTCTTACGCCACCAGAACAGCTCAAGAACAGGAGGGGTGCAGGGTGGGAGCAAGCCGAGCAGGATCAGGCACTGGGAACGCATTCAGTTTCCTATACAAGGCTATTTCAAGGTCGGGTTTCCTAGGTTTAGGCATTACCGGGGAGGGGACAGCAGCGGTCCCACCGACACCAACGGCACCGGGAAGCGGGACCACCGCCCCCCGGCTCCAGCCCTCCCGCACCGGGAGCCCGGCCTTCAGCCCGCGGGGGAGCGGGGCTAGCCTAGGGCCCGGAGCCCGGTAACCGCTGCCTCAGCACTCTGGCTCCCTCCTGGCCCCCGCGGGACCGGGGCAGAGTCCAGCGGGAGAGCGGCTCCTCCTCCCCCCGCAGCCCCGCGCTCACCTGCACGATGGTGCGGGGCCGCACCGACAGCGTGGGGAAGTTGCCGCGGCCGTGGATGGGCACGGCCTCGCCCAGGATCTGGTCCAGCCGCTGCACCTGCTCCCAGGACAGGACGCTGAAGCGGTTCCCGCCGGGCTGCTCCGCGCCGCCCGGAGCGGGCCCCGCCGCCGCCGCCGCCGCCAGCATGGCCCAGCCCCGCCGGAAGAGCCGCGCCGATCACCCGGAAGCGGCGCCGGAGCACAGCGGGGAGCGAATCGGGAGCCCCGCGCGGAGCACAGCGGGGCCTGCAGGCGCCCTCAGAGCCCGGTGCAGCCGCAGCGCCCGCCCCGCCGCCCCCTGCCCCAGCACTGCGGGGCCCGTTCCGCGCCGCCGCTTTACATAGCCCCGCCGGCGCAGCACCCATTGGCCCGGCCCCGCCGCCAATGGCCGCCCTTCAGCGCCGCCTCTCCCGAGCTCCCATAGGTCCAGAGGGAAGGGTGGGGGTGAGGTGATGGCCAATTAGAGGAGAGGAAAGAGGAAAGAGGAGGGGCAAATAAGGAGGGGACGGGGCAGAGCGGTGGGGCTTGAGACGGAGCGCGGGTTAAAGGGACACCTCACTCGTGCCATTGATACTGATTGACACCCATTGATACCTCGCGGATGTCTGTTGATGTCTGTTGATGCCCTTTGACACCCATTGATACCTCACTGATGCCCCGTTGATGCCTATTGATAACCACTGATACCCACTGATACCCCACTGATTCCCCACTGATGCCCGTTGATGCCCACTGATTCCCCACTGATGCCCGTTGATGCCCACTGATGCCCCACTGATGCCCTTTGATACCCATTGAAGCCCATTAATGCCCCGTTGATAGCCATGGATGCCTACTGATGCCTGTTGATACCTGTTGATACACATTGACATCCCATTGATGCCCGTTGATGCCCATTGATGCCCATTGATGCCCATTGATGCTCCAAGGTCTGAAACCCCATTGCTACACCATGGCCTAGTACCCCCAAAGCCCAGTGCCCCCTGGCCTGACCCCCCACCCCCCTCACCCCAGCAGTGCCCCCAAGGACTCACTGCAGCAGCTGCATGCAAGGGGCTGTGGTACCCAGGACACACAGGGTGGCATCCCCTGATGATGGGACCCACCAGCTCGGGATGCTGAGTAGCCCCAGCCCCTAAACCTCACCCCATGGCCCTGCTGCGGGTGGAGCCCCCACCTCCTCCTCAGGCCATCCGTGTTCTCTGCCACCCATTTCCTTTTATCCCAACAATTCCCATCCCTTTAAAGAGCTCATTTCTCCTCAGCAGTTAACAGACAGCTCCAGGAGGCACCTCCCTGCCGCGCTGCTGCCCTCGGGGAGGCTGTTGCAGAGCTCTTCCAAGCTGTCTCCAAAGCCCAGGCAGGTTTCTCCCCTTCCATATCCCAAGGGTCTGCCGCTGGAAGCTGCAGGAAGAGTAACTTCAGTGATGGGGCATTTGGGTTTGGGGGGAAATGGGGTGTTCAGGAGCACCCACAACTGGGATTGGGGATTGAGAAGGCAAAAGGGTGCCCCAAGCCCTGGTCCCTTCTGAGATCCTCTCCATCCCAGCTGCCCGAGTGGTCCCCATGTGAGGGTGTTCCTTGTGCCACCATGGTTTGCTCTCTGGCATCATTGTGGGGATCAATTCAAAACCTCCACCAGGATTAAATTCTGCTTCTGGTCACTCCCAGCAAGGCTCCAGACTGGGGTGCAAGAGGAGAGGATCCCTCTTGGAAAGTGATTTTCCAAGGAACTTAAAAAACCAGGAAGGCTGCCTCCTGTTGCAAACTGGTTTTGGTCCTGGCAGCAAGAGCTGGACCAGGAAGAGCTTCCCAAGACACTGAGAGAGGGCAAATGGCTTTAGGGATCTACCAGCCCATCCTGGAAGGACTGGGGTGCAGGAGGCTGGTGATGAGCTGGGCTAAGAGGGACTGGAGTGCTGATGGCCCATTAAAAGAACTGCTCCTTAACATCCATCACCAACCATTCTCCCAAGGAGCCACCGGAGCTGGGAATGGCACTGAGGCTGCTTCCTCCCAGCTCAGCAAGGGCTGATCCAGGCTTCCTTTGTTTTGGTGGCAATTAAGGAATGATCATTGTCTGGGGGTGACACTCGGGAGGATCCTGCCCCTGGGGTGGTGGCACAAGGATTGCAAAGCCCCTTTGGGGCTGTTGGAGGGGAGCAGGGGGGCTGTGGTCCTGCTTGATCCAGGGATGCAGGGTAGCATCCTGATGCTGGCATCACCTCCTGGGACATCAGTGGGGTGAGCTGGGACGTGTGTGGGGAGGAAGGGGCAGCTCTGGCAGGGGTCTGGAGAGGGGCAGGGGGTGAAACCCAACCTGGGGGTGAGGAGGGACCTCAGGGACTCCCTGGCTCTGTCCCACCCTCCATTAAGCAGGGCGTGAGCCAGCTCCGGGAGCAAGCAGAGGGACTGAGCCCTTCTCCCAGAGCCACCACCGTTGCCCAGAGCACCTGAGAGAGCAGCAGGATGGGGTGGTGCCATCCTCCTGCCCTATTCCCATGGCATCGCCACCCTGCACACCCCAGGCTGTCCCCATGCCCATGGCTGCTGTCCCCACACCTGCACCAGCCACCTCTGTGCATGGCCAGGCTGTCCCCATGCACCCCTGCGCACATCCCTGCCTCCCCATGCCCACTGTGGGTTGAGGAGGTGGAGCCCTCCTCCATGGCCACATCCAAACCCTGCTCCTGGGCACCTCCGCTGCCCACCCACCCCGCAGCCCCACTTGCTCGCACGCAGCCTGTCCCAGAGGTGCCACCGCTGCTCACTGTCCCCACACCCTCACTGACGAGGCCCCCATGGCCCTGGCTCGGTGCCACCGGCTGCCTCCATGGCCCCAGTGGTCACAGCTGCCTAAAGAACAGGCTTCCCCATGGTGAGCACTGGTGTTTCCTGCCCAGCATGAGGGGTGCCCCTGTTCAGGACCCGCGGGCTCCATTCCCTATCTGGAGCTAATGACAAGCGATGCTGTTGGGACACCCTTGCCCTGGAGAGGAGGCACTGAGATGAAAGGGAGCGCAGGGTGTCATTACTGGAGGTGACACAGGGCTGGGGAATGGCCCCATCACCTCCCTGGGCTGCTGCCTGGGGAGCTGGGGGCAACAAGCACTGCTGGGGCACAGGGACAGGGACCCCTGTCCCCAGAGCAGGGCAGGGACCGCGCTGTCCCCTCCAAGCTGTCCATGGTGTCACCGCTCCCATTCCCTGCTCCTGTGTCCGGCCCTCGGTGGCTTCCCAGTGACACCGGATTTGTGCTCTGAAACCCGTGGCGGGAGGTGACCATCCCAGCACCACTCACCTGAGCCGGGCACGGGCTCTCCCTGCACTTGGCACCACCAGGACCCTGACATGCTCGGGGGGGGGGGAGCAGAGGGAGCCAAGGGGTACAGAGGGGAAGGGCATCACCAGCATAGGCTGGGCCCGGTCCATCCCTCCTGCGTGTGTGCTGGCAGTTGCTCAGCAGTGACAGCCCAGCCCCGCGGGGATCATTACTCCTCCCTCATTACAAGGAGTTATTCACCCTTTGAGACAGAGACAAGAGTATCCTGGAAATGCCTCAGTTTGTGGGTTCTGGCAGTAAAGGTGTGACTGGGGCCAAGGGGGGCTGCACGTGATGCTTGCTGGCACGTGGGGGATGCTCAGGCAGCAGCCTCTGTGCCTGCACAGGGGCCATCCCCTGCCTCTGGGCTGCACCGGCACCTCTTGGTGCTCCTGGCACTGGGATGCAGTGAGGACAGAGCCGAGGCCCATTCCTGACAAATCTTCCTGGTTTGGGTCCCCCATGCCCTGGGGATGAGCGGGTGTAGGGATGCCCAGCCCCACCATGGGCCCTATGGCATCGCCTACCCCACACTCCACCTCATCCTGCCCAGGGACCCCTTGGCAAGGGGGGAAGCCCTGTGCTGGGGTGGCCACGTTCCAGCCCAGGACCACGGGGAACCCTGGGCCTCAGGTATGTGAAGCACATGAGCAACACCGGCGCTGATGCTGGAGCTGGATGGCGAGGGCCTGAGTCACAGCCTCTGGAGTCAGAGCTTTAACGTGCAGCGATGAGACGCCTCCCACCGCAAGTGACAGCAAAGAGCTTAAGGGCACTCCAGCCTGGGGGGGTGATGAGAGAGGGCTTGGCTTTAACCAAGGGGTCAGATGAGCCCCCTCCCCTGGGCACACAGCCCCCAAACCTGTCTGCAGTGTAGGCAGGGACCCCAGTGCTGCTGCAGCAGGACCCTGCCCCTTCAGCCACAGTGGGAAGGCGAAGGGCCAGCACTGAACATCCCAGTGGGAATGAGGCCTCCCAGGATGCCATGGCAGGGGTTGGATCCCAAAGAGCTGGGGAAACCTCCGCTAAAAATTACCATTAATTTATTAGAATATTCATGATAAAAACCCAGATTCTCTTTATACGTGTTTGTCTTTCCTTTAGATACCAGAGAATCCGCATTGCTTTGTTTCCCTCCTGGACACAGAGCAGGGCAGCAGCAGCGCAGGCAGCAGGGGGGCTCTCGCCCTGGTGTGACAGAGCCACATGGACATCAGGCCCCCGCTGCCCACCGGGGCAGCGATGACACGTGGCAAGGCACAGCGTGGGGAGGGCTGGTGAGCACCCCACGGCATGGCACAGGCAGCCCCATGGCGAAGGGGAGCACTGCCAACACCCGGCCAAGCCATGCGGAGCGATGGGGCCTTCCAAGCTCAGGACCCCCAACCCCCCCAGTGACCCCTCCCTCCTGCCACCCTCCCCAGTGGCCCCATGTCTCTTCCCCAGCATCTCGTGGCTGCAGGGAGCGATACAGCCCCCCCCCCATGTAGTCAGCTGAACCCCCACATGCCCCCTCCCCACACCGGGGAGCCTGGACCCATCTTTGGTTAAGGAGCAGCCGGTGCCGCGCAGGCACGGGGCGAGGGGCAGAGGGTCCCATGGGGACGGGTGGCAGCGGTTCCAGGAGGGATGGAAAGGCCCAGGCTTGCAAGGCCACTCGGAGCGAGGGGCCCCGGCTCCCCCTTGCATGGCTCTAGGATATCTATTGAACAAGACCTGGCGTGGAATGCGGGGCCAGAGGGGCTCCGGGGGGGAAGTGGCCAAGGCGGGAGTAGCGACGTGAGCCTGAGGTCCCCGGGAGGGTCCCTGGTGCGGAGCCTGGCTCCTGTCCTCCTACCTCTGCTCCGAAGCAGGGAAAGCACAAGCCAGGGAGAGGTGAACCAGTGCCATGGGGCAGCCGTCACGGACACCCCCAGCTCCCTGGCCAGAGCCCACCCTGTGGGCAGCCTCCAGGGAAGCCCCTCCGGGGCACCTGCAAATCCCAAAGCCCAGCCCTGGGGGTGAATTGTCCGTCCCCCCCAGGCTGAGGAGCTCAGTGCATCCCGGGGGCTCCTTCCCCGCTCCTCGGGGCCAGCCCAGGGCGCGCTAGGCAAAGCTGTCCTGGCGATCCCAGCCCATCCAGGACAGTCTCCCCTTCCCGAAGCCGGTGTGTAGTGATAGAGGAAACCAAAAGGGAGAGCAGAGAAAGAAGAAATGAAGAGAGAGAAATGGTCTGGAGGCGCGTGAGGCTTTGCACGCTGGCTACTGCCCCTTGGGGATGAAGGGCTCCCCTTCCTCAGGCTCTGGCCGAGGCCCCGGGTCACTGAGGCATCGCAGCATCCGCTGGTTGCTGGGGCTGTCACCGGTGCCCGGGGTGAAGACATCGTCAGTGCCCGGTGAGGAAGGCTCCTTCACCTGCATCACCAGCCCCTCCTCATCCTCCTCCGGCGAGGGAGGGAGCCCACTGCAGCCCTTGGGCTCCTCATTCATCAGGTCCACGGATTCCGGGGACTGCGGCGAGGCTGGGTCGATGGTGATGATGGGCAGGTTCTCAGAGTCTGCCTTGGGTTCATAGGCCAGAGGGTCTGGGGAGGCAGAGAGGGGTGTTACAGACAAAGGGAGCCAGGATAACCCAGGAGCCGGGATGCCTGGGGCAGGGATGCCTGACTTCTACAGTCCATATGGAGCGGTCCCAGGCAGCCCCGCGCACCACTGGTGAGGGCTGAAGCTGCCCTCTGCTGATGAACCACCGGTTCTACAAGCACCAGCATCACACTCTGCCATACCCCATCACACCCCATCACACCCCATCACACCCCATCACAACCCATCACAACCCATCACAACCCATCACGCTGTCCCCAGAGCAGGAGAGGACACACGGGACAGGAGGAACCAAAGATGGCAAAGCGAAAATGGGTGATGGAGAAGCTGTGAGTCCAGGACTTGGGGCTGAGCACTCCTGGTCTCGTCTCCAAAGCATGGCCAGGAATGTGGCTGTGGATGGAGCCAGCTGAGCTCTGGACAGAGCTACCAACCAGACAAGCTGAATTCCCAGTGGGATACATGCCAGGAAGCAAGTGGGGTGCTTCAGTCCCCCAGCCTGGTTGCACTGCCCCAGGGGAGTGGGATGGGGATGATGCAGAGGAACTGAGTAGGTGCAGGACAATACAATCTCTGAGTGCTTCAGCACCCAAGTACTGGGGTACGCAGCAAGGCACTGGCAGTGGTGACCCCCCCTCACCTACCTGAGCCTATGCGAGCCCGGGACATGGTGGGTGAATCCAGCCTGTGAGCCGGCACCGTCAGGTAGTTGTTCATCTGCAAGCAGAGCACAGGGATGTGTCCAGTGGGGTGGCCAAGGTCAATGGGAAAGGGGAAGTGGGGAATTGACCCCAGTGCCCTTCCCAGGGTGGGAAGCCCCCCTCAGCTCCCCGACCTCCACCCCTTGTGCTGGCATCCCTGCCCCAGCATCCCCTCGGCACCTTCTGTTCCAGCTGCCGGACCTTCTGCCTCCGCAGCAGCATCTGATTCCAGGCCTCCTCGTAGGGGTCAGCCACCAGCGTGTGCCGGTTGTAGGATCTCAACTGGGAAAAGGCCCCAAGAAAAGGAGAAGGGTTAAAAAAGAACACATGGGAAGGCAAGGCAGGGTCCCCTTGGCGATGGCTCAAACAGCCACCAGTGGGTGGAGTGCGTCCATGGAACCTCGTCCTTTGCATGCCCGATTCACCCACCTTGGCCCAGCAAGTGTTTAGGACACGAACCAAGGCAGTATCCCCTGCAGCACCATTCCAGGAGGAAAAGGCAGACAGGAGCACACAGGGCAGCAGGGCACAGGGTGAAGGGCCCCAGGAGCTCCAGGTGGGAAGTGGCTGGGGGCACCCGCGGGGAAGCAAAGGAGCCCCTCACCCTCTGCCGGGTCTTCTGCAGGTTGTTGCGGAGGATTTTCCGGATTTCCTCCTCCTTGTCCTTGGAGAGGGCGGGAAGGGCGCGCTCCACAGGGAGCGTCTTGGGGTTGATGTTCCTGGGTGGACAGACAGGAGTCGGTGACACCGCCACGGCCGTGGCAGCACGGGCGGCTGCTTGCCCTGCAGCCTGCAGGGGGGCCCAGGGCAGCCAGGCCTGAGGAACTCACTGGATGGACACAGTGGAGACAGCAGAGGGGATCTTGCCTATGCCCCCGCTCTCCACCAGCTCGATTGCCTGCTTCATCTCCATCTTATGGTAGAACGCGATGAGCTGGGGCTCCTTGGAGCGCTCCCCCGCGATCAGGCACTTCTTCACGTACTTCTTGTTGAAGCGATTCAGCCTTCCCAAGGACAAGGGGAAAGGAGGAGCAGAGACATCAGAGCTCCCCTGACCCAGCACCCCCTGCCTGCTCCCCAGCCCTGCCTCAGCCCAGCACAAGATGTTTCAGTGCCCACCAGCACAGGCCAGGCCAGGCTTCCCTGGGCAGCCTCCAGAACACCCAGCACCAGCTTGCACCCACAATGGATGGTCCTGAGCTCCTGCAGGTGCTGGCCATTGGCAGCTCCCACACTGCTGTGGAGGTGCCATGGTGAAGGGGTGCAGCCCTGCAGCCCCGCCTGCACACCCCAGGTGGAGCAATTGATCAAGGGGGGTGTGGATGTGGATGCACAAGGCCAGGTTGGATGGGGCTTGGAGCAACCTGGTCTAGTGGAAGGTGTCCCTGCCTGTGGCAGGGGCTGGAGCTGGAGGAGCTTTAAAGTTCTTTCCAAGCCATGCTGGGATTCGATGATTACAGCCCAGAAAAAGCCTGGCCAGGCGGTGATCCCAACCCTTCCCCATATCCCCCGCAGGTCCCTCACTTGTCCTTCCAGTGGTGATGCCCGTAGTGACCACAGATATCTTCGATCCCTGTCAGAAGGTGATCCAAGAACTGAAAGAGAAGTTCCAAGGTGTAGGAAGCTTGCGGGGCTGCCGCTCGCTCGCTCCCCATCCCAAGACCCATGCTGACACAGGGGTGAGGGCACTCAGGGTTGTGGGTCCAGGCTGGGCCGGCCTCAGGAGGGCAGCACAGTCCTACATAACCGGGCTGCTGCTCTACCGGGTCCAAGGGAGGTTCTGGGTCAGAGCAGGCACTGGGTAACACAGGGAATAGCCCTTTCTCCATCCCCCTTACCTTGGGCACTGATTTAGGGGCAGGTCCCGCTCTGTAAACCTGCCTGGTTACAGCGGTGGAGGTGGCCAAAGCAGAGAGAGGAGAGGACTAAGGTGGTGAAGAGAAGGCCCAGCCCATGGGTTACCTGCGTGTGGATCTCTTCATTGATGGAGCGCTTTGTCTCCTGCTTCTTCTTTACAGCCAGCAGGTCCACCAAGGGCCGGATGGTCATGCCCTAAGGATCAGGGATGGTGGTTAGACCTCTCCCCAAGGCACACCAGTGGGAGCGGGATGGGTTCAGCAAAGCCAAACCACCGGCCTCCATGCTGCCGGTGTCGCCTGGCAGCCCCATGGGCTTTTGGAGAAAGGGACAGTGAGAGTGCCTGGGAGGAAACTGAAACAGGGGAAGTGCAGGTTAGATGTGAGGCAGGAGCTCTTCCCTGGGAGGGTGCTGAGGCGCTGGCACAGGGTGCCCAGAGAAGCTGTGGCTGCCCCATCCCTGGCAGTGTTCAAGGCCAGGTTGGACGGAGCCTGGTGTGAGGTGTTCCTGCCCATGGCAGGGGGTTGAAACTGGATGATCTTAAGGTCCTTTCCAACCCAAACCATTCTATGACTCTGTGATAGGAGGAACAATCCTCTTGCCCTCTGAAAGCACACTGTGACCACTGCATGCCACCAACCTGCACGAAAACGGTAAAGAAGATGACTGTGATGATGGCTGTGAGGAACATGTCCCTCATGCCAAAATGCCTGTAGTCCAGGAGGTACCCGAGGGAGAAGGCGATGGCTCCCCGCAGGCCCCCGTAGGCGATGATGAACTGGTCTTTTGGCGTCAGCTTCACGATTCGGAACTTGTTGATGAACCAGGTGAGGACCAGGACACCTGAGGAGTGGGACAGGATGGTGAAGGATGCCCTCCAGTCTCCTCTGAAAAGGCAAACTAGGGTCCCATGGCCCCCAGAGCTGCCCATCACCCAGGACCGTCCCAAAGGCCTTTGACACCACACTGACACTCACCTAGAACCCTTGCAATGAGGCAGAAGAGCAGTGTGCTGATGACAAAGGTCCAGTTCCAGTAGTGGTGGCCAGCCACAGTGGAGACACCCAGGAAGATGAAGATGAGGGTCTCGCTCACACTGCTCCACATCTTGAGGAAGTACTTGATAGTGGTGTGGGACTTGTGGGAGATGTTGGCTTCCACATAGGGCCGCATGACCACACCAGAGGCGATGAGCCTAGGGGCAAGATTGAGGCCCTCAGCAGCCATCGGAACAGGGGGACAGCCCTGACCCCTGGCCCTGCAGCTCCTATACCAAAACCCAGAGCAGGACAGGGCTTGCAAGACACCAACATCAATTCAAAGCCTCCAGAGAAGGCAACAGGAGGTTTCTCCTTCCCTCTGGTAGGGCAGGAGTGAGCACTGGAGCTCAAAACCACATTGCCTTGAGCACTCACCACCACTGTGTGCCCAGGAGAAAGGGCATTGGGCTGCCAGCACCCCAGGATCTGTGGGACAACTCAAGAGAGTCGCTTCCCTCGTGTGTCTCCCTGCACTTCCTAGCTCAAACACACCTCTGGCCCTTACTGGGCATGTACTGGCCATGCTGGCACAGCCAGAGGGCTCTGCTTACACCACCTCCAAATGGTCCTGGGGACAGGAGGGCACCACATCCCACCCGTGTCCAACTCACGCCATGATGCCGGAGAGGTGGAAGAGCTCAGCAGAGAGATAGGCCATGTAGCTGTAGAGGAAGACGAAGAGGGGCTCGATGACTCGGATGTGGGAGGTGAAGCGGGACGTGAAGGCAGCGATCACCCCATAAATGACACCCACGAAGACGCCGCCCAGCGACACCACGAAGAAGCTGAGGAAGCCGAGGATGATGTCGATGATGGTCACCTGCTCGAAGTTGGCAAACTCCTCAAAGAGGTGGTAGAGGACCTGGGCAGGAGAAGGGAGATGAGGGTTCCAACGGTCCCGCTGCCAAGAGACAGCCTCACCTCAGAGGAGACCTGCATGGGAACACTGCATAGGGCCCATATATAGGCCCACAGGGCTCACAGGGACACGGTGCCATTGGAGAAGTGTCTGGGACAGGTCTGCTCCCCAACACAGCTCCAACCACTGTCCCAGGGAGGCTTCAGTCAAAGTCCGAACCAGTCAGAGCCTGCTCCTGTTTCCCAGTGAGTAGATGAGGACAGATCCAGGCTGGGGGACACTTGACAAAGCCAACATCTGCCCTGTTCAGCCCAGAGGACAGCCCAAACCCTTCATGCAGCTTTAGGGCATCCTAAGGGATGGCAGTGCTGGCAAGCAGGGAGAGGCCCAAGTGCCAGCTCCTGCCTACCAGGGTAGGGTACATGGGTCCTGGTACATGAGCAGGGACAGACATGAGAGCAGAAGGCAAAAGCATTCCCTAGGGATGGGAGCAGGGACACAGACCCGGCAGGCAGCCCCTCTGGTGAAAAGGGGGGGAATTGTCTGGGAAAAGCCCTGTGGTGGGACAGCGTGTTCCCCGCCAGCAGCCAGCTCTGGAACGGACAGCTGGGATATGGGAGAAGAGCCAGGAAAAAGCTGTGGGCTCAAAGTGAATGCAGAGGTCAGCTCTGCAGGAGGAGAACGGCCAAGGCAGCACCTGCACACAGACGTCCTTCGCAAGCGGCCTGGCCCCCAAACCTTCGACAGGTCCCTGCTAAGCTGCAGCTCCAGGGCTGGGGCTGTGGGTGACCTGGGTGGGATCCAGCCTGGCCACAGCCCCTGGGGCAGGAGCCCTTGGCACGGCTGGGCCATGTCCTCCCCTCCCACCTCCTTGGTGCTGCAACCGGAGGACAGGGAGGAAGGAGGGAAACAGGAGGGGGCAGCAGCTCTGTGGCAGTGCTGCCCAAGCCAGCACCAGCACCAGCACCAGCCCAGGTTCCTGCTCACCTCCCCAGGCACCGGCACGTCAGCAGTGCCATTCAAAGGGGGAGAACAGACTCCCAGGAGAGGAAGGCGCCAGGAGCAGCCTTGCTGTGCGCTGCCTGAGCGCGTGCTCCTGGTCAACCCAACCCACCCAGCGAAATGCTTCACCTCAACCAACCTCTGCAGTGCTTTAAGCCACTATATTTAGCTTTGCATCTGCAGAGGGTTAGGAGCAAGACGAGCTGCTGCAGTTTGGCTGGCAGGAGGCACCTGGAGGCTGGGAGTGACCCAGTCTATGGCTCTGCCTACAGGGACTGACTGAGAGCTGCCAACCTGGTGCCAGCACCCAGGGAGGCTCCACCAAAGCAAAGGCCATCCCCTTGGCCGATGCCCCTCCTGCACTCACCACCGTGACAGCATCATTGAGCAGGGACTCCCCGAAGACCAGGATGTGGAGCAGCTCATTGATGTGGATCTCCTCAAAGACAGCAAGCACGGCCACCGGGTCCACAGCCGAGATGATGCTGCCGAAAAGCAGGTTGGCCAAGAGGCCGATGTGGTTGAGGCCAGGGCCACCGAGCTGGCACACGGCATACATCAAGCCACCCAAGAAGAAGGCATTCCAGAGTGTCCCCACCACGGCGAAGATGAGGATGGTGCCCAGGTTCTCGGTGAACTGGCGCAAGGGGAGGAAATAGCCGGCATCCAAGATGATGGGTGGGAGGAGGAAGAGGAAGAAGATGTCTGACTTGAGGATGGGGGGCTTTTCACCCACCCCTTTGATGAGGCCCCCAACCAAAAGGCCCACCACGATGAGCAGGCAGCTCTCAGGAACGATGCTGGACACTGAAGGGATCACATGGAAGCCTGGGGAGGAGGAGAGAGCAAGACACAACACATGAATGGGGCATACTCTCTGTGGGAGGACACCCCTGCAAGAGTCAGGGACCAGTCCCAGCCCTCCCTGCGCTCTTCAGGGTCCTTTGTGTGCCTCAGTTTCCTCTTCCAACCCCCTTCTTCTTCATGCTGTAAAGTGGAAACTGCAGCTTCACCAGACCCACATCGCCTGGCGCTGCTTGATCTCAGACCAGAAAGTGAGACCTGGCACCAGAGTTTACCAGGCGGCAGCAACCCTGTGGCACCCATGCCCAGTGCCCCTCCAGACTCCACTGGCAGCTGTGTGCAGCACAGGCAGTTCTCCCAGCACAAGCTGTTGCTGGCTCCAGCTCTTCCACCCCAGCTCCTCATCGCTGGCACACGTGGGCTCTGGCACTCCCCTGCTGTCAGACAGCAGCCTGCCCACCAGCGCTGCTGCACCCAGCGTGCCAGGCTGGCAGGAGGCAGCCGTGCCCGTCCCCACGCGTCCCTGGTGCAGGGGATGGAGGGGAGATGGTGCTCGGTGGGGCTGAGGATGCACTTGGAGCGTCAGGAGGTTTTAGATGGCCACTTGGTGCTCCCAGGCGTGGAGAAGGGACAGGACACATCAGGGCTGCTCCTTGGGGTGGAGGGTGAGAGGAAACTCATTTCCCCCTTTGTGAATCACAGCACAACCCCAAACGCGGCTCTCTGAGCCAGCCATGACCCATTGGGACAACATCCCCCCACCAAGCTCCCCCTCTGCAACGCGGGCATCTGCCCGCAGGGGTGGGCGCGCTGCGTGATGGCAACCACGAAGCAGCACTGCAGCCAACGCACCGGTGCCCACAGAAGGATTTCGGGTTCCCTGGATCCACTCCCAGGCTTTATAGTGATTATTCGGAAGGGAGGCACACTCGCTCCCTGGCAAGGGAAGCAGTTTAAAATAAGGAGCCCTGCTTTGGCATCCCGTGTTCCTGTGTTCCATCCGGCCTGGGCCATCTGCGCATCGTTCACTACAGATTTAACCCCCGCTCCCTAATGAGCCACCATCCTGCTGCTGGTATGGAGCTGCTCAGCACCAATCTCCAAGCAAACTGCTCCGTGGCCTTCAGGTTTGGGCATGAGAGGAAGCCCATGGGAGATGGAAGCATCCAAGCTCTCTCCCAGTGCTCTCCCAGTGTCCAGCCACCAGCATCCTGGGCTGGAAATGATTCCTCATCCTTCCTGTCTCTGACCCCTCAGCAGCTCACCCAAGTGCTGAGCACCCCAGAGCAGCCCTGGCACGGAGCTCCCTATGGGAGGGGAGTGATAAACCCTGTTCCAAGCACAGCTCATGCAAACACCAGGAACAAGTGTTCCCTTCCAGCACCCTGGGGCAATCACCCATCCCAGCACACACCAGCCCTGGGCCACAGTAAGACTGAGAGCCACACAAGCAGGGAGAAGCCCACAGATCAGTTCTTGCTTGCTAAGTACGTTCAGTCATGACTAGAACACAAACAGGGCCGATTAAGCAGCTCTCACTCCGTCCCCACAGGCCCCAGGATCCCATTCCGTTGGAACATTTGCGTGCTGATGTGAATTCAGTGCTTAGAACCTTCTTGTAGAGCCCTAAAACCACACTCACACGGGCTGCATTTTAATTATGCCTTGGATTTAGCTGAATCTCAGCCATGTTTTGCTCTTTGCGTGCTCTGCTCAGTATTTTTAGAGCCCTCGGAAGCTGATCGGTACCAAGCTGCTGCTGGGATCCTGCTCCGGGTGCTGGGCCAACATCCTGCTTTGGGGTGGGGGAGCTGGATCGGGACTGCAGGGGGGGCTCACGACAGCAGAGTAGGTAATAGCCTTACCTTATTATGGCTAAGCCATAACAACCCCCAGGCTCCTGTTCCGGCTGCTTTGGTTAAAGGTTAAATCTCATGGGGCCCTGCTGCAAACTGGGAGAAGCACCCACTGGGCTTTGGCTGGTTTCTCATGGCAGAGAGGTCCCACGAGACCCCATTTCCATGAGGGCTCCCCAGAGCCCCCACATCACCAGCACAGGCACCCAGGCTTCTTCCTCTGGAAAACAAACTCCATGGGAGCAGCTCCCCATCACCAGCATGACACAGCTCCCAGACTATTAAAAGCAAGCCCAGTTGAGTAAACACCAGCACCGAGAGCTTGAGCAAACAAGGAAAAGGGGATGCAGAAGTGAAGAGTTCCTATTAAGATGGCTCCTTGTCCTCATCATGCACGTGCCCAGCATGGGAATCGCTCTCTGCTGCTCCTCAGCTAGGACAGAAAGGTCCCCTATGAAGGGCGAGCCAGGCTGCTCTTCCCGAGGCGGATGCTGTGCCATGTAAACACTTACTCCCAAGCAAGCAGCTTGGGAAAGCCTCTGACCTACGTGTGGATTTCTCCTTCCTCAGCTCTCTGTGGGTTCCTGCAGTCCCGCAGCACGGCTCGGATGCAGTGCCTGCCTTTTACATAAACTCCATCCAGCAGCAGCTGCTCCTCTGCTGCCTCAGGACTCCAGACTCACCATATCTGATCTGCTTTCATCCGCAGCCTGGGCAGGAGGGCCCTGGAGGTAAGAGAGGCAGAGGGAAGGCTGCTGGGCACCCAGCTCCTGCATCCCCACCCTGCTGTCTGGAAGAGCTGGGTCCCAACAAGCATTTGCCCGCGGTGATGTTCTTGCAGTGGCCCCATGCCCTGAGCTGCTCCGAAGGCCACAAGAGGAAGATTTCCAGCTCTCAACCCAACAGCAGCTCTCAAGGTGCTGGGAACCCACTGCACACAGAGAAGGGAGCATCCCCCTTTGCTCAGCCCAGCCTCATCCCACAGCAGAAGGCCAACAAGCGCCGTGTCCTGCAGCATCTGCAAGGCCTTTGCCCTCTCCACTCCACAGCATTACCCTGTCCCAGCCATGCAGAACTTCTCCCCCCCATCACACTGGCTGCTGCAATACAGCTCCATATGGCACGAGACCCAGGGTCAGGCTTAGTCAGAGCTCTGGCACTGCTCCCCTGGTTTTAAAGACCTCTCCCAGAGCAGCACAGAAAGAACAGTTTAATCAGACACTTGGGATGAAAGGAAGGAGGCAAAGCCTCACACACCGCCCTGCTCAAGGCCAGGTCATGGGGAGCTTCTCCTCAGCCAACACCCCTTCTCCCAACAAGTCCTTCCCCTCAGGGCTGGAGCTGGAATTGTGAGAGCCCCTGCAATGCCCATGGCCCTGACGAACACTGCTGTCCAGGGGGGATAACCTGCTGCTGCTGGAGGCAGCCTGAACCATGAGACAGTGGCCCAGCCCTGGGGACTGCAGGGTCAGTGCCCACCACTTGGATCAGCATCGCATCCTCCTTAGAGCTGCAGGTTGATTTTGGCTGGGATTAACATCCCCTCCTGTCACAGGAGGAAAAGGAATGTGATGGAGGAGGGATGAAAACCCACCCAGTGCTTGAGCTGGAGCCGGGTGAAGAGGGGGAGGAAGGAGGGAAGGAGCATGGGGCATGGCTGGAGAGACTCTGGCACATTCACAGTTAAGGGGATTAGAGCTTCTCCACCTTTGGATGCCCTCCAGGTGATGCTCTCTGCAGCCCCAGGCACCCATGGGTGCCCGTCAGGGCTGCAGGGTGGGACTGAGCAGCCACATGGCTTCAGTACAGAGAGCACTGCGGTGCTGGAAAAGCCCTGGGAGAAGGCACGGAGTCCAGGAATGGGGAGCAGGCATGCTCAGACGGCTGCCCTTCTGAAGGACACTGCAGAGAGCGGGGCTGGAGGAGGCACACGTGGCTCAGCAGCACCAGGGCCCCTCCAAAGGCCACTTTAACCCTTCAGGACACCAGGCTGGCAGGGTCTGGGGGCTGCACAGAGATGCTCTGTGCCACCAGCAAAGCCATCACCCCCTTGGTGAGGGATGCAGGTGGGTATGGACACCTGCTATGCTCCCATGGGACACAGCAGTGCTTTGCTGGATGAGCCCCAGAGTCACTGAGGTGCCACCAGCCATGGGGACGAGCCGTCTGCAAAGCATTCCCCTGCTCCATCCCTTCCTCCTTCTCCAGTGAGAAGCAGCAGGCAGGGAGAAGGGCTGGGAATGGGCTCTGGGGTCTGCAGAGCACAGAGACCACCACGGCCTGACTTTGATGCCCTGTGTTTTGGGGGGTTGAGGATGTGGGGCTAAGCCCCTAGCAGGGGGCTGGCAGCGTGTGTCAGCCTCTCTTGTCAAATGGAGCTGGATCCACGGCCCTGCCTGCGCAGACAGGGGGCAAGGAGCCTGGGGAAGGGCACAGAAGGGAAGCAGTGTGCGCCCAGCACCAGCACAGATGTGATGGGCACATCTGGAGGGAAGGGGAGGAACTGAACAGCTGGTGATTTACACCTAAACCTAGAGCGAGGCCAGGCTCCTATCGCCCTGCAAGGGGAGGTGGGAAACCCAGGGTACTTGAATTACATCCATTGCATCCCACAAGCTTCACCGTCACCTCCTGCCACCGAGCACCAAGGCAGCCAGGGGTGGCACATGTGAGGCCCTGCAGCAGCTCCAGCTTTGCCAAGCTCTCTTCAGGTTCAGCATGGAGCAAGTCCCAGTCTCCCAAGTGCTCTCCTGCAGCTCTCTTTGGGCTGGTGTCAGCAATGTGGCTTGGTTGGGGCAGCCTCTTAGAGACACATCAGATGTCCTGAAGGGAATAACTTTGATTTGCCACCCCAAAAGTGACATTTCCTTCTTAGAAGTTGACTTGTTTTGTTGTTTGGTTCAAAGGCAGGTACAGAACAAGCTCCTACGCACGACCATTTCCTCCTGATCAACCCAAATGCTTCATTCAAGCCTCATTATTTTCTTGTCACTAATTGCAAAGCAAAGCCAAGGAGCAGGAAGGGAATTAATTACAGCTGCTTTTTTGTGACTCACGGAGTTAATGCAGATCCCACACAGAGGCCACGCAGGCAGCACCCACCCAGGCCTCGCTGCAAAGCAAGCACAGGGAGAGAAGGGAAAAGCAAGACATCCAGGCCTAATCTGG